CACAGCATCTGTCTCTGCAAAGGGGAAGCCCTTGGTGATGGCAGCACTGGCTGGGGTCACTGGAGCTGGCAGGGAGCAGACCTGGGCATTTCCCCTGATCATCTGCATGTTAAAAAGAATGCATGCCTTATCATTGGGCCAGAAAGATGGCTCAATCTACACAAGGGGGTGCGGTCTTTTCCCCCCAATCCAAACTGTTTCCTTAGCGATCCATATACAGTATTTATATGCCAGTGTGGACAGGCCCAAACAGAGTGTTATAGACATAGGACTTGTCTTTGCTCGTCATATACAGTAGGACCTCCATATCTGCGGAACTGGCATTTTAATTATCCATGTTTTACTGCAGCCCTATTTAAAACATATAAGGGGGTGGGCCTTGTGGTCTTTGTCCTGCCTCCTTATATGTTGTACAGTATATAGGTTTCACTACTATCCACAGCTTTTGCAATATATTGTGGAATGGATCCCCTGTGGATACGGGGGTTGTACTGTACATGCATTTTTCAATTGTTTCTGTTATCCCTTTTCTTTTAGGAGATTATAGGGTTAGAAAGATGCTCATATTTTTTCTCATTTAAATGTCAAACATAGAAATTAGGTGCTTTACTCTCCCTAGGACTCCTACAGAAATTTATAGACCTGGGGAGAAAATCAGAAGCATGTGTTTGTCACAGCCTGTATTTATTCCAATTAAGGATTGGTTCCAGAATGAAAAGGAACAATATCAGACAACCATATTAACATTTATCTGAATAGCAAGTATTTTCATTATTGTAATAATTCCAGGCAACTTCAGCTTGTCTAGTTCTACAAGCTTTATTCCTCTGCATTGCTTCCGTATTCCATATCTACAAGAATACTTCAGAGTTGTTGTAACATGCAAGCATCCTATAGCTGGGAAGAAAATTCTGGTCGCATATACAGTGGTGCCTCGCTTTACGATTGCCCCGCATTACGACGAATCTGCTTAATGATGGTCTTTTTGCAAAACGATAGTCTGAATGGGGGAATTTCGCTTTGCGATGATCGGTTCCCTGCTTCGGGAACCAATCCTTCACAAAACGACGTTTTTTGAACAGCTGATCGGCAGTTTCAAAATGGCCACCGGGTGATTAAAATTGCTCCCCGCTGTGTTTAGGGATGGATTCTTCACTATACAGTCAGCAAAAATGGCCACCGTATGGAGCATCTTCACTGGATGGTGGGTTTTTACCTCATTGGAACGCATTGAATGGGTTTCAGTGCGTTTCAGTGGGGTTTTTATTTTCACTTTACGATGTTTTCGCTTAACGGCGATTTGCCTGGAACGGATTATCATCGTTAAGCGAGACACTACTGTACTTGAAAATGTGTCCTTGCAACTTATGAAAAATTACAAGTATTAAAACTTATAGAAAGAACTTAAATCATATTTGAATGTAAAATACAGGAGCATTTATTTAACCAGTAAAGATTCTTTTAAAAGTACAATGAGAATGGTTCAAATAATTCTAAAAAGATGTGCTTATAGCTTAATAAGACACATATGAAACAAAAGACAGAAAATACATCTCCTAGTAAAAGCATTATAACGTTCAGAAATCTTTAGCTTTACTTAACAAGCATGAAAAAATATATCAGGGGACTGGATTCAAGAGAAAAATTGGATAACCATCTGTCAGATTTACTTTGATCTGGATTCCTGCCCTGAGTTGGCCCCTTCCAACTCTATTGTTCTATGATTCTATCAGGTTGTTAACAGTAAAAACATACAAAGTAAAATGCATTACCTAGCTTCTAAGCATATTAGACACACACAGAGAAAAATATTTTGAAAAAAGCTCACCCAGCCAAACCATGTAAAAATCTATGTAAAATCCATTGGTGCTGCTCTTCTGATACCACTTCATTTACACTGTTTCCCCCAAAATAAGACCTAACCTGAAAATAAAGTCTAGTACGATTTTTCAGGATGCTCATAATACAGTGGACCCTCGACTTACAGACGGCTCGACTTACAGACTTTTCGAGTTACAGACTTCTCTGGCCGCAAAATTTAGATTCAACTTGCAGCTGGAGAATCGACTTACAGACCAGAAAAAAACCAAAATGGAACAAAAATAGAATAAAAACTGGGATTAATCGGTTTTCAATGCATTGTAAGTCAATGGAGATTCGACCTACAGACTTTTCGACTTGCAGCCACCATTCTAATACGGATTAATTCCGTAAGTAGAGGGTCCACTGTATAAGCTCTACCCCCCAAATAAGCCCTATTTAAGTGAAACCTCATTCTCCACCATTGTGCAGCATTGCATGGCAACCAGAAGATGACATGACTGTATTTGAATAAAGGTAGATTGTTGTACGTGTAAAAAATAAAACATCCCCTGAAATTAAGCCCTAATTCATTTTTGGAGCAAAAATTAATATAAGACCTTGACTTATTTTTGGGAAAACAGGATATCTTCTCTGCTCCTTTAATAATATTCCCCTGCAAACATTTTTGCTCCCTCTTGAAAGGAATATTTGGCTATTTGTTCTCTCTTTTTCTTGTATCTTCAGCAATGATGAAGAATTTTCTCTGCTTATTCAGGTTTTAAAACAGAAATAAATTACTATGTTTGCTACCTTAATAGAAACCCTCAAATACTTTGCTCCTGCTCAATTTACTGGGAGAGCAACATTTTTGTTTACAAACATCTGTATTTTGACTAAGTTTGCTACTTTATGAGACTGCTATTTGACATTTCTGTTAATCTAGCAATAATGTGGTAACGTGAAAAATATTCATGCATTTGTTTTTTCAAAAGATTACGAAAGGTTACAAAATATTTATGTATTTATTAATTATTGTTCATTCAACTCTGATATGTTTTCTTTACTATATCTCATATTTATGTTTACACATTCTAACGAAAACAGTCATTGAAATGCAAAACAGACAGTTGCCAAGATGTTTATGAATTATTGACCTAGCTCTGCCAGAGCTGGTTCATTGTTTTGAAAAACCTATATAAACTATTTGTTCAAACTGTATATTTAAAAAATACTTTCATGTTAGGACAAATTTTCTTGCAATCCACATACTCATTTTAACACTCTTAAACATACAGAATATCAAACTTTGACATATTTTTGGAAGCCAAGATTATGTTTAATTTGCTCTGTTTTGAACGTCACTTTCAGTAATTAGAAGTTTGGCTGCACTTCATTAGGAAATTGCACTGCCAAGTACAAATCCTTGGCACAGGATATGTCAGTATCTCAGCAGCAGGATGTCGGAACAGTTTTGCACATACATGGTGTTATTGTTACAAATTACAGTTTCATAGGCCTCATAAAAGTTTGATTAATGGTTTGGAGAAGAAAGCTGCTGTTTAAGTGCAAACATTCTGCAGTTTTACAATGAGACTTGTTTGTTTAACAAACAGAATAATTTTACAAATAATTTTCACTTCAGTTTATTTTTTAGGAAAAAAAGCACAGCAGCACCAAAACTGCTACGACCTTCAAGTGTGAATATCAGTCCACAGAGTGTGAATAACAAAATGGCAATGTGATCCTGTATAAATAATGCTGAAATACTATAATAAGGATTTATGCCATGAAAATTCTGTTGGCATTTCTCAAATGAAATTCACGATGCAACAAAAGCTTGGAAAAATTCAAAATCAATCAATCAACTCAGATTTACAGAAGCCTAGTTAAACAGAAGACTGCAAGTAGGCAAAAATCAATCCACCCCACACAGATATTAGTGACATATGGTTGAACAGATAGAAGAAGAGGGCAATGGTAAATGTATATATTTATCTACCTGCTGAGATTTTTCACTTGTATAAGTAACAGCATTTCAGTTAAGATTGTGTATAAGAGTCTGATTCATTGTTTGAAAAGAAGAATCTGGTGTATTGGTGGTGAGTAGAAGAAAACTGTGGCATAGTGTCTGATCATAAAATGAATACTAATACAAGCTTATTGTGTAAGATATAATAGGTTCCCCATATGCAATATGCAAAAAGTTATTAAACTATCAATAGAAGAAAAAATGAAGGAAATGAATGGGTAGGAAATTAATGCGATCCAAACAGGATCAAAAGGAAGAGTGTACATATACTGCATACAAGATGAGATCACATGATATACTAGGATTAATGCTTTCAAACATTGTTCATGGATAAATTAATTTCTTCAATGAGTGGAGTAAATGGGTAGCACTTTAGGAAGATTTTAGGAAGATAAGGAATGAAACCTATTCAATCAGCTAGTGAAAGACAGAAATGCAAAATGCAGTTACAGTGGACCCTTGACTTACAGATGGCTTGATTTACAGACTTTTTGAGTTACAGACTTCTCTGGCCGCAAAATTTAGGTTTGACTTGCAGCCTGAGAATTGACTTACAAACCAGAAAAAAACCAAAATGGAACAAAAACGGCCTGTTACGGGATTAATCGGTTTTCCATGCACTGTAGGACAATGGAGACTTGACCTACAGACTTTTTGACTTGAGAACCGCTTTCCAATACAGATTAAGTTCTCAAGTCAAGACCCCACTGTATTCGTTCTCCTTGCAATGACTCTTGCATAGTGTAAAAGCCATGGGGTCCACAATTTCCCATATCTTGTTTTTACTCTATCAGTTGAAAGGATTCAGAGAAAGAGAACAATCTACATTATGATTAAATGTTCTGCTTCTCTTGCTTTGTATTCATCGGAAATGTAAAAAATATTTTGAGGCTGATATGAATATGACATGACACCTGTGCAATTTATAGACATTTCAGCTGACCACCTGGCCTTCTTGTTATTTTTTTCAATTCTCTGAATCCTGTACTGTTTTTAAGTTATTGTTATTGCTTAATTACACCTATTTATAAATTGCTTCCCCCTACTACTACCACAAACAATATAGAATTCAAAACAATGCAATAAATAAAATCAGAACAGAAGAACAAGCATTCGGCACAGAAAGCACTAGTTCATCTTGGGATATTTTCTTTTTCTTTTCCTGTAGGTGACAATTGTGAATGTTGCTTCATGACAAAAAAGACTTTTATTCTATTGATTCAGTATAAATCCTGAGTTGCCTCTGCTGTATGGAGCAATGTTGAGATTCCAAGAAGTAGTTAAGCCGGGTACTCCTCTAACACCTGTTTCTACCTGTACAAAGACATTGATTTCAGGACGATATACTATTCAACAAAAACTCGGACGTGGAAGCTTTGGAACTGTCTATTTGGTTTTTGACAAAAGAGCAAAAGGAGAAGAAGAACAATTGTAAGTATTATATGACATTAATTCACTGAGTTTGTTTTTTAAACAGTTTATATATCCAATTTGCTTAGATTTTTAAACGTTGCCTTTAAGGAGAAATACCGTATTTTTTGCTCCATAAGATGCATTTTTACCCCCCCAAAATGTGTGTGTGTGTGGGAAGTCTGTGCGTCTTATGGAGTGAAGGCGGTGATTTCATCCCCGCTGGCCCCGTGGGGGGGGAGCTTCGCAAGGGTCTGAGTGAGCCTTCCCAGACCCTTGCGCCGCTCCCCCGCCCCCCACAGGGCCAGCGCGGGCGAAATCGCCAGCTTCCAGGTGGGGGGAGCATCGCAAGGGTCCGGGAGTGAGCCTTCCCGGACCCTTGCACT